TATATATATATATATATATATATATATATATATATATATATATATAAAGAGAGAGAGAGAGAGAGAGAGGATAAACAAAGTTTAGTCAAAACAAAACGATATAAGTAAGAAAAGGGAAGAGAGTTTTCGCCCAAATTTTATGACCATTTTTGACCTTTGGGGCCTACTGAAAAATGCTAAGGCTTTGGGCCCTCTTCTATTTTTTTATTTTTTTCCATGATATACACCATGCGTATAACTGACGTGTACATCCCGTATTTTTGGGACTCACGAACCTGTAGTTTTATCCAGATTATCGTATTTCCGCATTTTTTCCATATTGGCACATTTTTCAACTGTATACCAGATATTGTGACTTTATACAAGTGTATACATCTGGTATATCAGCTTCTTTTTCAGATTTTTGGGAGCTGGAAAATTTTATTTTCAGCAACACACCACTACTTTCGGCCTGTACATCAAATTTTGCTGACCCTGTAATGGAACTGACTCTAGGGAAAAAATCGAGCTTATGGCTCAATTTAATTTACAAAGGAAAGGAGGAAGATTCCACTGTGGACTCGAAGGAGTTGTCACTTGAAAACGGAGAGAACAAAATCAGTATCTAATAATAGTAATAACAAAATCTTTCAAAAAACTCAACTCTAAATGACGACATGCCTCGTCGATTTATAGAACAATTTTGCAAAACAAAGACGCATGCTCAAACATACTTCAACTAAACCAAAACAAACAATATTGAAATTAAATAACAAGGTGATCAATTGAAAGGAAATAATTATGAGAAGATGATGAGTTTTGTTACACACTAGGATTCACAACATTTTCATTCCACTGTACAGGAAAACTAACCAAATTTTGCCTATCCATAATTTATAATAAATCTAACAAGAGAAGGCTTTTAGATGCATACACACAATATAATAATCGATTTTTCTTATTTAGAGTAGGCCATAATATCAAACGATTAGATTTTTATGCTACTAAGACATTATGGACAGCAAAGAGTAAATAAATAAATAAGAATAAGGACATGCTGCTCCTAAATTCATCTTTGGTACATGCTGGGAGGAATGGAGAGTATGTCACTATGCCTTCGCAAAAATTGAATAGCAATCAAACTTCGAAACGTAACAAAATAATTTAAAGTTCACTCTAATTTTTCCCTCAAGAGAACATAGAGTAGGTTGGTATGGAAACTAAATAGTATGGCTGATTATCGTCCAAATTCTAGGTACAATTAACAAATCGACAACAACAAGATCCCTTTTAAAAAATGTTTAAACCATGGTTACAGTGATCCAAAGTAAGACAAACATCACACCACATTATTCAAGAAAAATACTCCATCAAACAAATTCTTTGAATGGTTCACACTGAAACATGTATTAGTGGAAACAAATATCAATATGACTTGAATCATAAAAAAATGGTTTTTGTAGCTACTTTGAGAATTAGAGAATGGAGACGCGCTTGAAACTCAAATGTGGTATAAACAGAAATAATAGATGCAATAATAGGAGGATGCAAAACATACTTCAAACAAAGAAAGGAAGAAAACAATGAACACCAATATAAATTAGCAGAACTCGAATGGATATTACTGCTATTTTGTGAAACTGACTTAGAACAACCACGTCACATTAAACATCAACTATTCAACATCAAATTACCACTTACATGGAAGAGGAATCCAAAAGATTGTTATAAGGAAGAAGACGATACCTTTCCTAGAAAGCGATACTGGAACTCGAGCTGAGCAAAGAGAGCTGACTCCACCTCCGATTTCGTAAGATCTCGACAAAATCTAAGTTCCGAACAATGGACTCTTGTGCTTTAGATATATGAATACGATCGCACAAATTCTACTTTTTTAAGGGATGGTCTATAACTCTTAATTCTTTCTTGTGTATTATCCACTATTTTTCCCTAAGCTTTTCCTCTGTTTATTCTAACCTTTATCTCACTATGCTCCAACCCTTTACAAATAAGAAGAGGGGACTATTTATAGGAGAAGAACTAGGTTTATGAATTAGGGGAGGGCGGAAAATTCTCACAAAAAATTTAGGGTGGAACCAACCTTCCTCTTCAATTCGAAATTCAAAACCCTTTCCCATTATGGATCAGGACCTTTTCTTCGAAAAATTGACCTTATTTCAGAAAGGGAAAGATAGGGGATGGATGAGATGGAATTAATCATCTTTGGTGTTATACGTGTCTCCATCTCATGCCACCAAGTACGATTACATCTCTGCTATTGTGATAGTATCGCAAAAAGAGAGACGTCAGGGAAAAGGAAAAAGAGTCAGCGCTGGTATCTGCTCTTTGTTGCTTTTCCGTCTATCATCATGTCCCTTTCCATGAACTCGCTGCTGCGTGAGGCGCATTGGATTCTCTTAGTCTCATTCACGCGTTCTTCCATCTATTGACTGTGAAGACGACGTCCAAACGCTGCTTGGATTACAAGGTTTCCCCTGGAAATTCTCACGCAAAAGGGGAAACAAGGATGGGTCGGGTATTGGAAGAAATCTGTCGGTTTGGACGGATGCATTGGGCTTGAATAAGGTGTTGGGATGAAAAAATAACGAATGGCTGATAATTGAAGAATTTGGGCCTTGATTATTTGTAATAATGTCTTTGGGCCACAGCTGTTTAGAGGAAAGAAAGGTGGTGGGTTGGGTTAATTGAAAGAGAGAGGCCCAGAATTTCAGTTCTTTTAAATGTATGGGGACAATAGGCATGTTTTAACTCTAGTTTCAATTAAATAATTGGCCCAAGTACATTAACATGTAACCAAATCGAGTTAATTTGATGAATTTTTTTAGAATTTAAACAAAATGAATTACCATTAATCAATAAACAAGCTTCTTAGTTTTAACGAAATAAAATAACCAACGTAATTAAAAGAATTAATTCAAAAATATGTAAACTATTACATAATTAATAAAATATTTAAAGAAAATAATATTTTTTGGAAGATTTTCACACATTCATAAAAATAAGCTTGCATATATATATATATATATATATATATATATATATATATATATATATATATATATATATA